CGCGGGGTAAAAATAAGTTAGCGTCAAGCATTCATGTCATGTTTTTGGCTTGGGAGGATGCCTCCCGCACTGCAAGTGCTCAGCGCACTGTTTTTGCTTTCGCAAACTTTCAACCGCGCCGACATCGCTGATTAAATATCATGCGACGCAAGTGAGATGCTCGAACTTTTACACAGCCTGCGCATATCGAGTTACGCTCTCTATCCGGGGTCCGGATGCAAACTCACTGTAGGGGTTCTCACTGTGCACGCCGCTTATCCTGCCGTCCGGGAGCACCTGCAGGTGAAACCCAATGCCCACGTTGCAGTAGAGCCGCCGCACTCTTTTGATGCCCTGCAAATAGTCACTCTCCCAGTTCAGCGTCGACCTGCCCCCGTTTATCCCCAGATACGAGCGAGAGAAGAGGGTCTCCCACTTCTTTTCCAACTGTGTCGCATTAGTCCTGCTCGGAATCGGGTAAGAAGAGACGATTCCCCACAGAGAAGTCCACAGTACCAAAACTGCTGGCAGCGTCCAGTGCGTCCCGGCCCCGCTGGACATGCTGTGGTGGCACCTTTGCGCAACGGCCATCCGGTTCACCTTCGGGGCACGTGGTTAAAGTTACCTGCCCTAGAAATGCGACTCTTCTTATTTTCTGTCCTCTGGCATGGCTGCGATAAAGGCTGGTTTTGGGATCAGAGCAGATCAAGGCCCCACACGCCGAGATCTGGGCAGGAGGGAGAAGACGGAGCGCGGAGGAGCTTGAATTGATGCCGGCGGCGATGACCATCTTTCGCCGCTCCGCGCCTCTGTGCAGGCAAACGCTGGCCGTGGAGGGGGGACACCACTCACCCGCAAAACCAGCTCACCTTGCCCCCTAACGCGCTCACATCCTAAAATGACATCACTGTAACTTCACCGCTGCACGCAACCCCCCATCAGAAGTAGGCGATGGGAGGAGGAGAGAGTTCCAAAAGCTCAGCAGCAGCAGCAGCAGCAGCAGTAGTTCTGACAGGAGTGATGGGGGGGGGGGGGGGGGGCTGCACCTTCACACCAACGTTGAAGAAACAGGACAGAATGGGAAGGGGAGTTTCCTGTGAGGCATTTCAAAATAAGAAGCGGTTGCTGGAGCTGGTTTCAGTCACTCCCTTGACTCAGCTTGTGCCCCAGATCACACACACACACAGATAAATACTCAACAAACATCAGGAAAAAAGCTGTTCACATGTAGATGTTAATATTAATTGAACAATTACACATTTCTTGTGTCTTCAATTTTAGACAAACCTTTGAAAAGGTTCAACATACACATGTCGACCCAATGTCTCTGGATTTTTACGTTTGGAATTTGGATTCAGATACATAAGACATGAATTCAGAGAGCCTGGTTCATCAGATGCTTATCTGACTGCTCTTCGGTGAATGACGAGTTGAGGGGTTTTCTGTACCTTAGAAAAAGTTCCCGTTTTCACGTTTTCTGGTGTTATTTTGAAGGTGCGCGAACCCATTTTTCCAGCCTTCCTCTGTCGACTTGACCCGGCTTTTCCTCACATGGGAGACCGGTGAGAGGGGAGGAGTGTGTGACTGTGTGTTTGACTTTCATTGGCGTTGAGCAATCATGGGATGGAAGGATGGATACTGTGTCCAGAGCCCAAATCGGGACGGTGGTCATATGTCCTGGCTGCCTGCGGCCTTATTTAGAAGGAAGGTGTAAAAACAGTCGCAGCAGAGCAAATGGCAATCCTGTCTGACACTTCCTTTGCTGTTTGTCCAGGAAGTTTACACAACCAACTATTCTGCCTGGTCAGATTGCGCGTTATTATTGTAACCAACACACACTGCAACATGAATATATGGCCTGCTGAATCTTATTGATAGCTTTGTTTCACACTTAGGCATAGAGATACAGAAGTAAAAGACTCTCAAAGAGAAATCTTTGCTGTTAATGAATCATCATGATCATGCAAAAAAGATATATTTGCATTAAAGTGCTAAAACAAGCTTTAATACTACATAAAAATAGGCTACATATTTGTAAGGAAGTTTCTTGAATAGGTATTCGTGAGCAGTATTGTGTGTAAAGATGGGAAAAGAGTTATTGGAACACACTGGCATACAATTGAAAGAACAATTGAACAAATGATAATACAATAAGGTTTCACCACCGATGATTACTTACTATAACTTGATTTATTAACTATTGCTATTACTCAGATAATGATGAAGAAAAGGATCAAGATGGTCAATTAGTGTACTACATTACAGTGTATAAAACATTGGCCTTTAAAGGCAGCAGGGTATGAGGAAAATATGGTGGAAAAGCCGAGAGCAGGCCCCACCCTCCTCTCCCTTTTTTGCATCCCGGCTTGCATCCCATCCTGACCGGTGGTGGTAGAAGACGAAGGCTCCGGGGAATTCCCAGAGAGCTCTGAGGCCACCGAGGTGCTTTGTGCTGCCAGGAAGCCTCAGGCCCACCTTAGCAACCAAAGAGGACTTGTTGACAAAAAACAGCACAAGGTGAGGTGAGGGGGAGTCAATCAAGTGGGAAAATTTGAAGATAGAGTGAGTCTTAAATATGGTGACATCTATTTCAAATAGATTTTTTATTACCAGGTGTGTGTTTTATAGGTTTTTATAGGTACGAATAAATTGATGTAATAGTAAAACATTTGAGAACATTCTTCAATGATCCACACGTTATCTTACTGCATGCATATGGGGATACTGCAGAACATCCATTAAGCAGGTGATGCACATATAATTCTCGGAGCGTTTATTTGGATTTTGGATTAATTCTATGTTGAATTCCATTAAAAACAATCACTACTTCAGTCGCTGAAGTAATCAGAGATTCAGGTGGCAGATTGTAGATTTGCGATTATGGTTACATTTCAGGAATTAAGTCCTTTGAGGTTGTTTTATTCCCTGTGGGTTAGACCATCAGGATCACACCGAATAGCCAATTAATGAGACAAGGCTTTGATTTGCTGTATAAGCACATGGCTACACAAACCAAGGCAACCAATAGCCTGAATAGACAAAACTACTGGGTTATTGACAAAGTGGGACATTAATCAATGAGGAGTGGGCACCGTTAATAAGACAGTGCTGAGCTCCTCACATTAACTCGTGCTGTTAATCTGGTGTGATGCTGAGGCTGCTCTTCAGTGCTGAAAAATTTCTGAAATAAAAAAAAAGACATAAAATTGTAATTGTGCGCAATTTGGAATGAACTTCTAAACAACATCACTTATGGGTAGATGCACTTTTGTCTGTTAACTTCTTCCATTGCAATATTGGGGAACAAGTGACCTTTTAAAAAGGGAGTAGGATTGCAAAGGCGGAGACAGACATAACCAAACAGACTACGAATAAGAGATGCCCTGTATCTGATACATTTCTTTTTAAAATATCTTGAAATAGTAACATTTTATTTAAATCCAATATTCCAGGAATTCTGCTGTTATGTACAAGACTTTCTTATCTTTTTTTAAATGTGTAAAAGAAAAAAGATCTGCAGTTTTGAGACAGCTATCCTTTTCAGCTCAGTTGAAACAAATTAGTGAAAACTGATATGACACGCACTGGCTTTCTAAATGTAAGATTTTCTTTTGACAACCTAAGTATTATTAAACAATGTATCATCAGCATTATCATAAATTAATACTATCCAAAACACATTTCATTCATTCATTCGTTCATTCATTCATTCATTCATTCATCCATCCATCTGTCCATCCATTTATTTATTTCCCTCTTCCATTGGAGGTCGGGTTTCAGAGGAAACAGGTGCATCTGGGAATCCCAAGGCGATCCCAGGACAGAAGAGATATATAATCCTTCCAGTGAGATCTGGGATTGTCCCAGGGCCTCCTCTCATTTGTACATGCTTGAAAAGAAATCCTAACGGAAATGACTCATTTGAATTAGGCCCAGCTGAAGGATACTCATTTCAACAGCCTGTATCTATGACCAGCCAAGAATGGCCACAATGAATATCATGCATCAATTTGTAAAAGCGGTTAAGTAGAAATGGATTTGAAAATGAGTGAACTCCCAGTAAAACTGTAGTGTATTGTTTTCTAGTGCCAGACAGATTGTAGCATTGTAAATCATTACGTCTTGTGACCACATGTCAATCATTGTCACACAGTTAGCTTTTTTATTTGGCTAATAAATGTCAAATGTGATGTATATGGAAAATAATCGACTTTTTTATGGAGACTTGCAGAGCTTTTTGTGAGTCACTAAAGTGATAAACAATCGTTGCTTTAAAAAGCATCACACTATCAGAGCAAGTAAGAATACTTTATGGCATCTAAATGAACAAAACGATACATCAAATTCAAATTCTCTTTTGTTAGAAATAGATCAAATCTGTTCATTTATCAGTCAGTCATTTATTGATTAAAACTTTGGTCATGAACAAAAAACTTTACATTGCAGTCCAGATAAACCTCAGCATCTCCTGAGTCATACCATGGAAACAAAATGACAGTAGTTAGCTGGACAGCTTCCCACATAACACAGCACATTGATTTCTCTTATAGACTTGCAGTGACTGAATGGAATTGAGCTGAAGTGCACAAAACACAAAAACTAGAGTCTGAAGCAAGAAGAAAAAAAAGGCAGCAGAGTACTACTGTCAGCTCAGCTTTCTTTTCTGCAATTATAGAATCTATCTAGTCCACACACGCATGCATGCACACACACACACACACACACACACACATATGCACACACATCAATCAAAAACCAGACCAGAGTGGATAACTATAACAGACTGCTTTTGCACATATTCTCAAAGTGAAAGTAAGAGGATACAGGAAGAAGTAAAGCTCTTCCAATCAAAGTTTTATTAGTATGGGGTCTAAAGACGATATTAAAACAACAGCTGGGGAGACCCGCAGATGAAGGGTAAATGGATGGGGGGTTCTCTGGCATCACAACAGAATATTTACCGTACATGTGCAATAGTGACCCGACCAACTACAGATCCAAAACTGCAGAGGCATTCACATGATGATAAAGGACAGCAGTTTTAGAATTCCAGACGTGAATGTCATTTGATCATTAAGTAGATAACGTCAGATTATAGGCGAAAGTATGACACAACTGAAAATTCTCATTCATCATCAAAGATGGTTACAGCAAGACCAAGAAGTATCTGGAGATTGCGAACCAATACAATATATATTGAGACATTTCTGTACAGAAACGTCTGATGGTGCAAAAAGCCGTGTGACAATCCCTCTTGTCAGTGATGAGATTATTAACAAAACAAGACTAAACAAATCACTAAGTGTCCATATTTTTCCACTAATCTCTGACCCTAAACCATTAAAGAAAAGTTTTTAGTTCCTTTGCATAAGTAAGTAAACTTTTGATTATCATTTAGTGATCTGGTGATCGATCCATAGAAGCAGAAGCTTGTGAAACAGGAATGGCACCATCCAGGAGAAAAGCTTGCTGAACCAGCTAATGTATAATGCAACAGCCAAAAACTGCACTGGGTTTGTCCCTGTTTTTTTCTTGTTTGTGTGGATTTGTGACACTGTAAGAAACAGCACACAATGCAGGAGTTGAAAGCAACCAGCACACTGTAGTGCGAAGACAAATGCAGTAGTCTCAACTTCTGACATCAGAAATCTGCTTTTGTCATCATCATTTTTTTCAAGCTGTGAGCTGCAATAGGAAGACCAAGAGCAACCTCTCACAAGGGAGTTTTCCCAGTAAAAATACCTTTTCAAGGGTACAGCTCGTGCACCTTGCAGAGAAAGATGTGCCTGCTGCTATATTGGGTGGAGAGTGACTAAGGGGAAAACAAGCTAGGCAGAGGTGACTTTACAGGCAGTTCCTAATCCCAGCCAATGACGCAGCAATTCTTATGCTCAAGCCAGTGAGGCACACCACATTTTAAAACCATTCACTAGCAGGCAAAGACACAAAAAAAAGTTAATTAACTCATAAGCTCATTAACCCACAGCGTAATACAGTG